ATATATATATATATATATAAGATTATTTTGTAATTCTTTAGTCAATCTTTTTCTTAATCTCATTAAAAGTCTGAAAGATACCTTTTATTCGACGAGGCACTGGATGTAATTAGAATATCCTTTCAGAAAGTCCAGAATTACAATCTGGAGGTGTTAAACGGCATTACATGTGGGGGGAACAGTCGAGCAAAGTAACGCACTCATCAACAAATAAGTCCGGTAACTAATACTAGCGAATATCTTTGTCATTAATTTAAAACCACGTATAAACATCTGCACACGCCGTAACGATCTTACAATAGTCTTTCAGGCTAGAATGATCTAACTATGACCTAACGATCGACTAACTATAGCTGCACAACTCTATGATCGTTCATCTTCGTGATTAACGAACACAGTAATGGATAGACTGGTGTTTAAGTTGGTCCATAAATTTTCAAACAATTGTACATGCATTCATTCCGAGGTGAATTTTCTCGCCATAAAGAATGTATGTGCGTATTAAATCATTGAAATTCAATTTATTTGAGAATTTATCGACCATCCCAATTATTAATAAATAAATTAATCGTTGGATAATTCGCACACTGGTATTATATACGACGCTTGATTATGAAATCGTGTCACGTGTTCAGATTTTCAGCTAGAAATCCAAAGTAATAGGGCAAATTGTATAAACGATCAGTCTTATGTAAACGCAAACACACTCGTTAACAATCGAACAATGGATTTGTAAATACTGATTCCGTCGTGGACAGATTTCCCTTCGAACAAAGAAGCGTTCGAGTTTCTATTGAGCCGAGTAGTTTGTTAGAAAATTAAACAAGGAAGAATACTGTGTGTCCTGTTTTTAAGTTTCATCGATAAACCGAGTTCGACGCTCTAATCTCAATTGAAAACTGTATAGAAACGTTGAGTTCGTCGTCGTGGACTTGAAAGTTACAATTTTCAAGGATTTTCTTTTGACAGAGAAGCTGAAATGAAATTGACGCGTTTCCTCTATATCTTCATACCTCATTTCGCTCGTATCTGGTCAAACTAATCCGACAAATTAAATTAGTACTTTGCGCTATAAAATTAACACGTTGCCTGCCTTGGAATAGAACTTCATACGTAATAAATGTTATAGATTATAATACAGAGCTTAAACAAACTTTACATATGAAAAATATCGTAGCAAATTCTCTACTTGAATATTTACTCGAGATATATTGGTACAAAGTATAAAATTCCTTGGACAGTCAATATGTTAAAATTGGCTTGGCAGTATTCAGAATCAAATTTGACTATCGCTTTCGTCAATTGCACTCACTTACGGTGCAATTGCTCGTGTGCACGTTCGACGATGGACGGTCGATTGATTCTTCCACGTGTCTTAAACGATCTACGACACACATCGTTCGCACTTCTACCAAAAATTAGAATAATTGTACAAAAAGAGAACAAAAGTATTGTTACGTTCTTC